TTGCACTGCATCACTCCTATCTGCTGCAGTGCTGCATATATTATAATCGACTCGTTTTCAATTTTTAGTTACCCAAGAATAATGCATTACAAGGTCTGACTTCAGCGATCATTAAAGCTTGGGAACTGTTCAATGAAAAAGAGTATGTAAATTGTTAGATATAATTTATCCAAATAAAATAAAAATATTATATTTCAGTCCTAGACCGAAGCCGATTTGAATTTTTTTTATACCTTTACACTGATTGGACAATTACAGATGACAGAAAATGACAATATAATAATATATGATAATAACTATAATAACTATATGATACATTATACTACGTTTTTAAATTGTTTCAGTTCAGTTATCTTGGTGATTGTCGAAAATCAACCGATGAATATCTGTGACCAGCGTTTTCACCAATTCGAAATCGCTCGCCAAAGACCAGAAGTCAAAGTCATCGTCAAGACGCTGACGCAAATATYCAATGAAGCGAAGCTATCAGATTCCAAAGGCCTATTAATGTAAATTGATAAAAAATGATATATGAATCTATTAGCAAACTACGTCTACTGGTTAWTGTAAATTCAATTTTCAGCCAAGGGAAAAAGGTCGCTGTCGTGTACTACAGGGCCGGTTATTCACCTGATCATTATTTTGGTCAGGCCGAATGGTCAGCACGCTTAATGATTGAACGTTCGACAGCTATCAAATGTCCGAACATACAATATCATTTGGCAGGAACTAAAAAAGTACGTAAATAAAGCATGAAATCCGGAATTCGAACACGTTATCGTCATCGGATTTAGAATTATAGGATAATTTAAACTATGCACTCGTACAAATGCAGTACATATTTGGATTTTATTTGTTGTGTGAATAAAATATTAATATAATTATAGCTTGAAATGCCGCTGCGTTATTTTTAGCACCTATTAAAAATAGTGTCGCATTTTTTGAAACTTTACTTCAGGTACAACAAGCATTAGCAACTCCAGGAACTCTAGAACGTTTTGTTAAAGACGCCAAGAAAGCTGCAGAAATCCGAAAAGTGTTCACAGGATTATACGCACTGGACTTGGTAAGCAATGATTGCCGCCTGTATGACAGTATTGTTAAGTGCGGATGCATTCATTTTTATCATCTTTTTTTAGGACGAAAATGGTGACAAAGCTGTCAAAATGGCTTTGGATGCTCCTGATCGGTTTGTGATGAAACCTCAAAGAGAAGGCGGAGGAAATAATTTGTATGGAGAGGATATCAGAAAAGTAATGTTTTGTGACTGAAAGATATTTAAATACTTATGTTATGTACTTATATATGTTTTATGTATATTTTTTAGAAACTCATGAGCTGTATGAATAGTAAAGAACGATCAGCTTGGATTCTGATGGATAAAATAAATCCTCCCGTCCAAAAAAATTATCTAATTAGACCAAATCAGGATTTCGATAAAAACTCTGCATTATGTGAAGTAATTTCTGAGATGGGCATTTTTGGTACCATATTATGGTGTGTATCTTCTTACGTTATTTATTATTGTATCATAATAGAAATCGGAAAA